GGGGCCTAGGAGCCCGTGCTGAAGGGCAGGGGGGTGGGGGGGGGGGGGTTCTACAGACTTGTCAGGAAAGATATGGTAATGTTTTAAGGAAGTAATTGTGCTTGCTATAGGAGCCAGAGATTGCCAAGGAGCGGAGTGATTAAAACGTGGATGAGGATGAGCTGATGGATGGAGAGCCCAGCGTTTGTTCAACAAATGTTTATTCATTCAGTCAACAAATATTGACTGAATGCCTCCTTTGTGCAGAACATGGTCAGGTGGAGCGGGGGCAGGGAGACAGGAGGAGGGTAGAGGGGAAGGGAATGCCAGGAGTCAGAATGATGAGCCTGTGGTTCACCTTTTAGTGCCTTAGCTTTTACAGGCGCTTGCGTGCTCCTCCACATCCCTGTGACCATGGGTGGAGTGAGCAGTTGTCACCATCCCCCTCTGGCAGAGAAGGATTTGAGGGGCGGAGAGGTGGCCCATCGTGCAGGGTCCTGTAGCAAAGGAGCGCTGAGCCCTGGCCAAAGTCTGGGCCTCCTGATGCCTGCGCTCTCTCCACCACACCCCAAGGACAGGAAAAGTCATTCATGACCGTGGAGATGACTAGTGACATGGGACAGGCTCCCGGAAGGAGCCGGGTTCTCTGCTGGAAATGGAGGTCAGAGCTGGAGGCCGCTCACCTGCAGTGAAAGTTGACATGTTTGTGGGTAAGTCCCTTCTGGGGTTTGAAGGTGATCCTGAGTACCTGAGCGCTAGCTGCAGTGGAAAGGATTTTCCCACAGGCCTGGTGCCGGCTCAGACACCTGTTCAGGGACCCGCGCGACCAGGTCAGTGCAGAGACTCATCATCAGCCTGGCCCAAGGGTGACCCTCGATGACCGTTCGGCCAATTGAGGAGACGTGTATATGCAAGCGCGACCCTACAAAGAGAAAACCCAAACTGCCTGGCAGTGAGAAGATGACGTTTTACTGGGGCCCTTAATATATACACACCCGAGTACATTCGGTGCATACGTATGGCCAAGATAGTGTCAGGAACAGGACCTGGGAGTGGCATCTGAGCTGTGCTTTGGGGCAAACTGGAGATTCTGTGAGTCAGAGGTGAAAAGGGCATGCAGTGTAGACACTGGGGGGGAGTGGGAAGGAATGTCGTGTGCGTGGAACAGCTGGTAGGTTAGTGTTCCTGCCACCAAGAGCGTCTGAAGGAGGCTGTGGTTCAGCAGGACTGGAGTGGAGGCAGCACTCGCAGTGCCAGGCAGAAGGGAGCCACTAAAGGTTTCTGGCTGAGGAGGTGATGCGCTTCTACCTTTTTTGGTTTTTGGAACAAATATCACGGAGAGTGGATTGGAGAGGAGAGAGAGTGAAGCAGGAAGGCTATTGACAAGATGATGCGAGGCTGATTTAAAGGAAAGGCCGTGTCTTGTGAGTGAGAGATGGGGAGAGATGGCACGGACAGAAATGGGCATGTGATTGGGCGTGGGGGCTAAGGAAGAGGAAGGAGTCAAGCCCGCCCCAGGGCTGCAGACGTCCATGTCTGGAAAGATGGTGGTGCTACCGACAGAAATGGGGGAGATTGGGGGAGGGAGGGATTTGAGGGGAAATAAGCTGAGTCTAGTTTGGACTCATTGAGTGTCTAGTTCCTTGGAGCTGTCCAGCAGGTAACTGGAAACAGGGGACTGGATTGTTGATTTCAGATGCTTGATTCTTTTTTTCCAATTACCTGTCAAAAATCTTTAGCATTCATTTAAAAACATTTTGAGTTTCAAATTCCCTCCCTGCTTCTCTTCCCTCCTCATTGGGAAGACAAGGCAGTTCTGGGGCTGGGAGGACCTGTCCAAGGCCAAGCTTGGCACCCTTACGGCACCAGGGAGCAGTGCCTTGGTAGCTAGTAGAGGAAACAGTGAAAAGGTGTCCCTCAGCTACAGGTGGAGTCAGCGGCTCCTCTGCAAAGGGCTGAGGACTGGCCCTGTGGAATGCTTAGGGGAGGAAGCCCTTTCCACCCATGCAGAGCAGCTGTGGGATTTCTGTTGGGTTATGTTGTGCTTTCATTTATTTTGCTAAACATCTCCCAATTGTATTTCACTTGGGTCCCAGGCGGTCTGAGTTTGACCCCTCTGACCTTGAGCCCTGAGAGGTTAACCCAACAGCACCCAAGCAGTACAGGTCGGTTTTCAGGCCAGCTCTCCGACCGCTACGCCACACTGTGCTCGCTCACTCTATGTGAAATAAGAAATCTGCCAGTCTCAGGCCCCCAAATTCCTCGACATCTGGGAAGTCTGGCAACCTGGAAGTCAGTATGGGAGACTGACCAGGAGAAGCAGACGAGGCCCAGCCCTGGTGTCTGGGAGGAGCCAAGCTACTTGGTTCAGCTGTGGGGTCAACATGCCAGGTACAGCTTTGTTCAGGCCCCTTTTCCTGTTTTTTGAGGGGTTTGGATTTGTTTCTGTTTTAAACCCCGTAATGCCATCAGTGAAAGGAGGGGAGGGAGACTGCCGTCTCCAGGGAGAAGGGTCTCCATTGGCTGGCGATCACTCTGGGTCGTCCACTCAGGGCAGGAGAGGGAGAAGGGAAAGTTGACTTCCCTGCCCAGTATCAGTGACCCTTCTAACTCCGGCAAGATTGCGTCAAGTCCAGAGTCCTCCACCTGGCTTTCTGAGCTCTGCCCATTACGGCCTCAGCCTGCCTCTCTAGCCTTCATTCTCCCTGTGTGTCATGGGAGGCGCCTTGTTCTTCCTCCACCTCAGCCGCCCACAGGGACAAACACACCTGTGATTCGCATCTACAAGTGCATTCCGCTGCAAGAATTCTCCCCCGTGACTCCCTAGTGCACTCCCCCCGTGACTCCCTAGTGCGCTCCCCCCGTGACTCCCTAGTGCGCTCTCCCCCCCGTGACTCCCTAGTGCGCTCCCCCCCCCGTGACTCCCTAGTGCTCTCTCCCCCATGACTCCCTAGTGCGCTCTCTCTCCCTATGCCTCATTCTTCCTACATCTGTTCTTCCTTACCTCGACTTCCAGGTCCTTGTGGCCCCCACTGTGGCCTCCCTTTCTCCCTTCTGTGTGTGTGTGTGTTTCCCTTGACTAGACTTCTATTCTGTCTGTGAAGGTAGGAACCCTGTACTTCTTACTCCCCTCTCGTGACCCTTCTAGTGTTTCTCTGGCCCATGCCAGATGATCAGTGAATGCTTACTAATTGGACTCGATCCATAAGCATCTGCTGCATGCCAGGGACCGGGCCACGCTGGCCGTACAGAGATAGGGATTGGCCACTTGAAATCTATGGGGGAGCCCACATGTACACATAGGAGTCCATCCAGAACACAGATAGATTCAATACAAGGTGGTTTCCAGGGGGTGGCCCCAGCATCTGGTGAATGAGGAAAGGCCTCAGGTCAGAGGTGGCATTGGAGTGAGCGTGGAAGGGAGCTAGAGCCGCCAAGAGGCTGGTAAGTCTCGTGGTCTCACTGGCATCCACCCCTCAATCAGGCAGGAGCCCCAGGAGCCTGTTTTTATGGGGCAAAAGTGAGAGAATCGTCATTTTAAACAGAATGCCCTCCCCTCTCCCTCCTTCCCATTATCTTCTCAGGTTTCCCTCTTCCCGAGTTGGAAGCACACATTTGATATGGTGTTTATATAGCAGGTCGTTAATTAATACCTGTTGATTGTTTCTTTCAAGCTACTTTCCCTCCTTTGCTACATAATGGCTTCCTGATGTGTCAGCTCCATCCATCCATCCATCCATCCACCCATCCATCCACCAATCCACCCATCCATCCACCAATCCACCCATCCTTCCATCTATCCACCCATCCATCCATCCCTCCATCCATCCATCCATCCATCTATCCATCCATCCATCTATCCATCCATCCATCCATCCATCCATCCACTCATCCACCCATCCATCCATCCCTCCATCCATCCATCCATCCCTCCATCCATTGGTCCATCCATCTATCCATCCATTCATCCATCTATCCATCCATCCACTCATCCATCCATCCACCAATCCACCCATCCATCCATCCACCAATCCACCCATCCATCCATCCATCTATCCATCCCTCTATCCATCCATCCATCCATCTATCCATCCCTCCATCCACCAATCCACCCATCCATCTATCCATCCATCCATCCATCCATCCATCCCTCCATCCATCCATCCATCTGTCCATCCATCTATCCATCCTCCATCCATCCATCCATCCATCCATCCATCCATCCATCCATCCCTCCATCCATCCATCCCTCCATCCCTCCATTCAGCAGGTATTTAAGAGCAGTATAGAAGGCACTGTGCTTTGAGGGTTACTGAAGAGAGATGAAGTAGCCCCCCAGCTAACTTCTTGGATGACTTGAGGGCAGCTAGGTCCCGCCAGAGTGACTTCAGGTCACGGAGACTCATCTTCATGAGTTCAAATCCAGCCTCAGATATGTCCTAGTTGTGTGACCCTGGACCAGTCACTTCAACCTGTTTGTCTCAGTTTCCTCATCTGTAAATGAGCTGGAGAAGGCAATGGCAAACCCCTCTGGCATCTCTGCCAAGAAAACCCCAGAGGGGGTCAGGAAGAGTTGGACACGACTGAACAGAGAGTGAGAAAGACAGCTAGTCTTTGCTGCTGTTGCCGCCGGCACTGGTGTCTCACTTTCAGGTTTGCAGAGCGCTTCACATATGTGATCTCGCTGGATCTTTGTGACAGCCCTTCTCCTTCCCATGTTACAGATGAGAAGGCGGAGGCCCAGAGGGCTCAGGAACCTTGTCCAGGGTTGCACAGCTGGGCAGTGTCTGAGCCGGGATGGGCCTCGGGTCCTCCTGACTCTGCCCGTGACACACAGCCGCCTCCTGTGACTGCGTGTGCAGGATCCAGGGCTCCAGAACCCCTCGGGGGCATGTTCTCTGACTGGTGCCCCCCAAGTGTATCGAGCGATCCTTTGGATTCCCGGCCCTGGGCAGATGCCACCAGCCTTGTGCACCTTTCCAGGGAATGTCTCCTTAACGAGCATGCCCTCTTGTTTGCAGATGCCTCGCATTTGAGCAGAAGCGTGTTGGGAGCCGGACCTTCCTCCCGGGAGCTTTGGAGACCGTCACGTCGTGCTCAGAGCTCCCCTTCAAGATGTGGGCACCCATCACCTTCCTTTGCCTTTCTTCCCTGTCCTTGTCCTTATCAGAGAATCGCCTTTCCTCCTTGAAAGAGAGCCGGGCCCGGGTGCTCCAGATACAGAGAGTCCAGAGCCAGGAGCAGTGTAGCCAAGTGTGCCAAGATCCGGCCACAGCAGGTGAGCAGATGCCCCTGGACCGGGCATGAGGCATGGACGTGCCTGTTCCTGGGCAGGCTTTCTTTGCCCTCTCTTTGGCAAAGACTCAGGCGGCTTCCGAGCCAAGATCTGACCTAAAGACAGATCAGCAGCCAGAAGGTGATAGAGGGAGTCACCCTCTGTCCCTTCCTAGGGATGTGACCTCAGGCAAATTTCTTCCTCTCTCCTTTGTCGTAATGAAAAGGGAGCTGACTGATTCTGGAGTCAGGCGATCCAGGTTCCAATCCTGTCTCCGATGCTTGCTGTCTCTGTAACTTTGGGCAAGTCCCTGGACCTCCATGGGCCCTTTGAGGAGGAGGCACTAAGGCTAGGGTCTCCTGAGCCTCAGTTTTCTTATTTGGAAAACGGGGTAACATTCTTGTACTACTTGACACCCAGAGATGTTATGAAGAAGGGACCTCATTAAACCATTATTGGTATATTTTATTTTTACATCACCTCCATTTCCCAATCTCTCCTCTTTCACCAGTCGGTAAACATTTATTAAACACCTGTTAGGTGCCAGGCACTGTACTGAGATACAAATAAAGACAAAGACAGTCCCTGCCATCAAGGAGCTTACAGTCTAACGGAGGAGGGTTAGACACCAGAGGAGGCCAAAAAGGGGTGGGAGTGAGGGCCTGGCAAAGGGTCAGTCAGAGAAGTCCCAAGGCAGTGCAGTCATGTGAGAAACAGATGTTGTGGCTGGGCTCTGTCCTTCAGTGCAGGTTTGGAGCTCATGGGCCCAAAATGCCATGGCTGATGAGACCTTCTGGGATGAGTGAGGAGCTTCCAGGGACCTGGGCAAAAGTCACTCTTCCCCTTTCCTCTGCAGCCTTGTCTTGGAACAGAGTCAAAAAGTAGTGCCACCAAACCAGCCAGCCAGGACTCTGCCAGTATATGCCGTGTTCCATACCTCTAGCCTCCCATGCCTGAAAGGAAAGGAGGGTGGGGCATCTTCTCACAACTTCTCTGGGACCAAGTTTGGTGCTTCTGATGCCACAGGCCCTTCTCTACTCGGTAAAGCAGCCTGTCCAGAATTGTGAGACCGTGTCCATCTCTGGGCGTGCCAGATGCCTCGTCCCCAGAATGAACTGGGGAGGTTCTGTTTGACGTCAAGGTCCCTGCCCGAGCAGACGCATCACGAAAGCAGGCCTGTGTCTGATTGCAGCTTTTTATCTCCCGTCCTCAGCCCCTCTCAAGGCTACACTCGGTCTCCTTTATGTGACAAACCTTTCCTAGCTTAGGTGTGGAGGGACGCACAAAAATGCATCGGGACTCTGGCACGACCTGTTTCTTGTTCAGAGGAGTGTTTTCATTTTATTTGGAGGTGCAGGGGGAAGAGCTGGGACTGGGGCATTGGAAACCCTCTCCTGGCTGATGTCTCCAGAGCCCTGAAGGGATCTCAGAGTCCCCCACTCCTGGGGTCTCAGCCCCTGTGTCCTGAAGCACCAGCAGAGCTGCGTTGGTCCCCAAGGAGACTCAAGGCTGGCGTCCGCCCGACGCCCTCCCTCGGGGGCCTTTGTGGCCCTTGCCAGCAGTGACCTTCAGGGGCTGGGAGGGAGTCCGCTGATACTTGTTTTGTGTAGCTCTGGGCCAGGATGGCTTTCCCTTAGCCCAGGCCTGGTCTCTGCATTGCTCGTAGGTCTCCGTTTCTGCAGTTTGTCCACAGAGGAGCCAGGACATTGTATTGTCCTAGACTGTCCGCTGATAACTGTGTGCCGGGATGCCAGACCTCGGGATATTCAAGAACTAGTTACAGGTACTTGGGCATTTTAGGGCTCTGTGTTCTGAGCTATTCAGCAGGATGTCTAGGTGGCGTCCACTCCAAAGTAAGCTAAGAAAGCGGGGGCTGCGTGGCTGAGCCCAGGGGACTATGGAGCTCAGGCCCTTATCCACAGGACGGCTCGCAGCACAAAGGAGCCGGGGAGGAGGCGGCGTCCCTACCTCCCACAGTGTCAGGAAGGGACTGCGGGGTTTTGGGGGCCGGGCCAGGCTCTGCAGGGCGTTGTTGACAGGAAGCCTGCTCTAGCCCTCCTCAGCTTCCGCCTGGCCTGGCCTGGCCTTCTGAATGCCCCAGCCTCTCAGCTTCTTTGGAAGTGGAATCCAGCTTTAAGTGTGCTGGAAAGAGCACGCTCTTCAAAGGAGCCTTGCAGTAAACAAACTCGCCCTTCCTCGGTTTCTTTGTTTGACAGAGTCAGGGTTTTGAATTCTGAGTTATCTTGAAGGGAGGCACACATTTACATTACATTGCGCCACTGCTGGGCAGGCCTGGTTTGAGGGGAGCTGGAGATCCCTGGCCCTCCTCCCCGGCCCTTCTCCCTGTTCCTGTGAGGCACCAGGTTAAGCCGAGTGATCTCTTCCCCAGACCTTCCCTGGAGCTGGGATGGAAAGGAGACGGGTGTTTGGGTTTCACAGGGCTTCTCTGGTCCGATGCTCAGTCAGTCAGCAAGTGTTTATCTCGTGCCCCCTCTGTGCCAAGCAGCATGCCAGGTGCTGGGGGTCCGGAGACCAAACGGTCCCTGAAGGAGCTTAGAGCTAATAAAGGGAGACAGTGGCCGGGGGGCTCGGGGGTGTTGGGTGTCCCAGCACTCGCAGACACGGGGCACATCCTCACTCACTTTCTCGGTGGAAAAGTAAGTACACGGCGATTGGGAGGGCTGCGGAGGAGAGTCCCCAGCAGTGGGGAGCCGGCCTAAGGAGGGGTCAGGGGAGGAAGAAGGCTGTGTGAATGACGCAGTGTGAGAGGCAGGCTGAGACCAGGTGTGAGTCAGGGGTCAAAGTCAGATGCCAGAGAAGTTGGGTTTGTAATGAGGATTATCTGGAGCTTACTGGGAATGGGGGTGAAGGGCACAGACCTGCTTTTGGCAAATGATGGTCCGGGGCAGAGAGTGGTTTAAGGCAGGGAGGCCACTAAGGGGCCTGTTGTAAGAATACAGGTGAGGGGGGATGAGGCCTGAGCTTGGGAGCGGAGAGAAGAGGCTGGGTGTCTGAGGGGCTGCTGAGAACCCCCCCAGCTGACAGTTGATCAGAGAGGTGGGGTAAGGGAGAGGGAAGAGACGAGGAGGGCTTAAGAGAGGGCAGAGTTTGGGGGACATGGAGTGTGAGGTGCCCACAGGAAAGAAGACTGGTAGCATCCGACAGGCACTCGGGGGGTGAGGCCGACTAGAGCTTGCAAGGAAGCCGAGGGCCGGTAATCTGAATCTGGAGGTCATTAAGTTAGAGCCAAACCCCCTGGAGCCCCTAAGAGGTGGTGAGGTCACAAGTGTAGAGAAAGAAGGGAAGAAGATCCCGGACAGAGTCTTGGGGACCACCCCCACTGAGGAGTGGTTAGAGAGAAGCAGCCATAATCACAGTGTGGGCAGCTAGGAGGGAGCCACAGTGGATAGAGCACAGGTCTGAAGGCAGGAAGAATCATGTTCCTGAGTTCCTGGGTGAGTCACTTCACCCTGTTTGCCTCAGTTTCCTCATCTGTAAAATGAGCTGGAAGGAAGTGGCAAAGCCCTCGGTATCTTTGCCAAGAAAATCCCAAATGGGGTCACCAAGAGTGGGACACACCTGAAAAGTGACTGAACAAAAACAATCATGATAAAAAGTATAATGGATGATGACTAGCATTCATAAAGTGCCTTAGGACTAAGGCCTCTGCCTATATTTACTTTCTCATTTGAGTCTCACAGCAGGTTTATGAGTTAGGTGCTGTCATTATACCCATTTTACAGATAAGGACAGGCACAGAAAGGTTAGGTGACTTGCCAAAGGTCACACAGCTAGGAAGTGTCTGCGGTCTCCTGATTCCAAGTCCCTCATTCTGTCCTCTAAGCCTCCAGAGCAGTATTGTGAAAACTCAGAAGGGAGAACATATCCAGGACTATTGGACTGTGAGCTCCTCAAGGGCAGGGACTATCTTTGGGCACATAGTAGGGGCTTTATAAATGCTTGCAGAGTGTAGACGCAGAGGCTGATTCACAGTGCTGTAGAGAGGCCAAGAAGGACCAAGGTGGGGAAGATCATCAAGGGTGAGGTGGCAGGGCCGACAGAGAGTGTGGTCGTTCTGCAGAGTGGGCACTGCCACAGAAGAGGGAAGGTTTGGAAAGTGAGGTTTGCTGTGGCTAATTGAGAACTGATTGGATTTTTTCCCCATCTTTTCTCTTTTTAAGAATATGCACTAGAGAAACGGAACAGTGTCACCACCACAGAAACTTTGCTCACTCGTGCTGACCCGGGGCCTTCTCCAGCCCTTCCCTCTCACAAGACCATCCGAAAGACCGGAGAGTTAATCCCAGCAGTGCCTCCTGTCACGGTGACTGCTGGCAACCACACAGAACTCGGAACTGAGACTCTGAACGATACTGATGTGAGCATTTCCGCTGCCCAAAATGACTCTTCCTCTTTGGGTCCGGCCTCAACGGCTGCGACGGGCAGGCCTTTAGCACTCACCACGCCCCAGGGACAGAGAGCCACCGAAAAGACCTCCGTGGCGATGAGGACGACAGCGTCGGCCCCGAGTACGAGAGTGGGCTCTGCTTCCCTGCCGGTGACACGTGACCAGACAGATGGCCGTGCCGACTCACCGCCCACCCCAACAGGAATCGCCGTCACCAGGCCAAAAGCAGCGAGCGGCTCTGCCACCAGCGCCACCGTCCAGACCCTGCCCACGCATTCTGGAATTAGTCCAACATCCAGCTCGCGGACCCCACCTAAAGGTGGGTCTTTGGAGGGGCCGTCGAATCCAGAGATCCCGATGACCACCTCGTCCCCGATTCTCTTAAGCTCCAGAGCCAGGGCGGAATCATTCACGAGCACCCCCATCGTCTCCACCAGCACCAGCGTGGAGTCCCCTGCCAAACCAGAACCAGTGCCGTTCGCTGCTCAGGCGACAGACCGCAACGTGACGCCGACTGCCACGCCCGCCACGGTTGCCCAGGCCGCAGAGACTTCAGGCACTTCACAGAACACAGAAAGAGCTCTCCCCCAAACCACCCTAAGCCCAATGTCACCTGAAGTCCCAGTGGAGAGCTCACCCACAATGCCCGAAACATCTGCACCGACGGTCCCAGAAATCCAGTACGTGTGGATCGCTACTGCGCCCTTCGCCCAGCATCTGGTCAATAAAAACTTACTGTTGGCCATGCTCTTGGCTGGCAGCGTGCTCTTCGTCGCCATCTTGGTCTTGCTGGCCGTGCAGGCGTACGAGAGCTACAAGAAGAAAGACTACACCCAGGTGGACTACTTAATCAATGGCATGTACGCAGACTCAGAAATGTGAGGGGCAGCTGCCCGCGGATCTGAACTTGTGTGAGCGGCGACTCAGGTCTCGGGACCTGTTCCCTCTCCTTTCGGTTTGCCTGTAAGACCAAACCAAGTGCTTCCAAAGTAATTTGGTGCAATTTAGGAGAAATGCCAGCCTTGAAAGGATTTCATTTGTACCTAGTTCCATCATTACTAAAGAATGGCTACTTCGTCTGTCGTTACTTTAAAAGCACGTTGGCCCAGGGCCGGGCCGGGCCCGCAATCGTTGCCCCAGATCAGGCGGTGCGTCCTGACCCCCGTGGGCCGCCTCCTCTCGTTCTGTCATTTCGTGTCGTGGTCAGAATGCCAGCCACCAAGTTTGTGGGGTTTCTGACGGACGTTTTTCCTGAGCTTAGTTCTATTTATGTAATGCAGCGTGCTGCCAGGCGTCATTGGGGTCAGATCCTTTCGGAGATGTCTAACGAGTAATATGGTTTATTTTTGTAGACGCTCATTTAATAAAACATGAGATCCTGAAGAGGCCACCCTTGTGCCAGCGCTTATTTTGACTTTTACCTTCTGACTGCTCACCCCCTTTGCTTGGCAAGGTTGTCCCCGGGACAGCCCGAGTCAGAGGCTGCCCGCTCTTGCCGCCGGCCTCGCCGCCGCCCTTGCTGAGCCCGGGTCATGGCGCGTGGGAACACGGCGTGAGTGCTGGCTGACGAGGGTCTTGGCATGCTTCCCCTTCCTCGGGCGTGAGTCCCAAGTGGTGGCATGAAGGCAGCCCCTGGGCTCTACTTTCAGGAGGTGTGCAGATTCCAGACACGGAGCACTGACTCCCGCTGTAGACGTGATTTCTTTGGCGGTTCCCTTGTTTCTCCATTCCCTGCTCAGGTGCCTAAGTTCAGCCCTTCTCAGGCCAGGCCTTTCTCCGCCAGCCACTCGAGACTGCTGGTGTCTCAGTTTGATGCAGCCTCCAGTCCATGCTGACTCCTGCAGGATTCTCTCTGATTTCTGTAGACACTGAGGAAAGGACTTGAGTCTTTTCTGGTTCGTTCTCTTGGCCTTCTCCTGGTCCCTGGCCCTTCCCCTAAGTCACCTTCATTTAGTCTGATGCCTCCAACCTGTCCTAGAGGTTTCCCCAACCCCTTCTTTCCTCACCTTTTTGGCTTTTCCCTCCACTCTCTTCCCAGAACCATAAACGATCCAGTGACCTGTACAGGTTATGTGCCTTTAAATGTTTATTGGGTTGAACTCCCTGGTGGGATTGGAATGAATTAAACAGGATTTTGAGATCATTTAGTCCAAAACTAGGATTTGGTAGAGGAAGACACTTCAGGCCGGTTGACCAAGACCAAGAAGCGGTTTAGTTGCTGTCATTTCTCCTTTTATGCTGTGAACGAGGATGGTGGCCATGAGTGGGGGGGAGAGGGAGGATGGGTGCACGGAATGTCGTGGCAAGAGGAACAGCGAAGTCTGGCCCCCAGTGTGAACTCGAAGAGCCGAGGATGAAACCGAGGGTTTAAACCTGGTGAGAGGGAGGACGGCAGTGTCGTGGGCAGGCTCAGCAAGTTGGGAAGAGTGGTGGGAAGGGGTGGGATGACTCCTGTTTTAGATGTGCTGAAAGACCCACAAGATGTCCAGCTTAAAATGTCCACTGACACCAGTGCTCAGGAGAGAGATTAGGGCCAGAGAGTGAGGTATGAGGACAATCATGAAAGCTGTGTGAACCAATGAGGTTGTCGAGAGTGAGAGTGTAGCAGAGAGAGGAGGAGGAGGAGGGGGCCTAGATCAGACACCCAGGGTCAGGGGAGAGAAGGAGGGGGCCTAGATCAGACACCCAGGGTCAGGGAAGAGGAGGAGGGGGCCTGGATTTGACACCCAGGGTCAGGGGAGAGGAGGAGGGGGCCTAGGCTGACACCCAGGGTCGGGGAGAGGAGGAGGGGGCCTAGGCTGACACTCAGAGTCAGGGGAATGAAGAAGGGGGCCTAAATCAGACACCCAGGGTCAGGGGAGAGAAGGAGAGGGCCTAGATCAGACACCCCAGGTCAGAGGAGTGAAGGAGGGGGCCTAGATCAGACACCCAGGGTCAGGGGAGAGGAGGAGGGGGCCTAGGCTGACACTCAGGGTCAGGGGAATGAAGAAGGGGGCCTGGATTTGACACCCAGGGTCAGGGGAGTGAAGGAGGGGGCCTGGATCAGACACCCAGGGTCAGGGGAGAGAAGGAGGGGGCCCCTAGATCAGACACCCAGGGTCAGGGAAGAGGAGGAGGGGGCCTGGATTTGACACCCAGGGTCAGGGGAGTGAAAGAGGGGGCCTAGATCAGACACCCAGGGTCAGGGGAGAGGAGGAGAGGGCCTGGATTTGACACCCAGGGTCAGGGGAGAGGAGGAGGGGGCCTAGGCTGACACCCAGGGTCAGAGGGTGGGATATAGACAATGAGCTAACAGACAACAGAAGGGGCAGACAGGTGGGAGGAGAATCAAGAGAGCGAAGGATCATGAAAACCCCAAGAGGAGAGCGTTGAGGATGGAAATGTGGCCAGCAGTGTCGGCTACTCCGTGGGGCCAAGAAGGATGATAGAGAAAAGGCTTTGGTCGCTCTCAGTTGAGTGATGGGGCAGGGGAGGCCAGGAGGGGAGGAGAGTCATGGGGCAATAGCGTGAGGGGAGGGTCTTTGTTCTGTTTTGGGGAGGAGACCAGCAGAAAGGGAGAGATAAAAGGGATCCAGGTTATCTGGGGAGAAGAGGCGATCGTGGGAGCGTCTCCATTGGAATCCCGGCTTGACCGGTCCCCACCTGCGTGAATCTGGGCGGCTCCTCTCCCCTCTCCCACACCTCAGCTTCCTCTTCTGTAAAAGGAAGGAATTGGCCTAGATGACCTCTAATGACCCTTCCTGGTCTACAGCAATGGCTCCAAGTCATTTTAAGTGTGATCCCTAACAATGCATGGGACCCAGCACAGATAGATATTGATGAGGGTTCAGCCAACATCTGTCCCATGAAGGAGCAGTACATTGGCCCTGGATGGGAACTTGATGAGTAGGGGTTCCTGAAAGAAGAGGCAGGCATGCTCAGAGAGGTGGGCAGCACCTCCATGAACTTTCAGGGGAATTCTCCCTCGTGCCCCGATTCTGCAGGCACACCTCAAAGATAGTGGTCTGCAAGACCACTGCAATAAAATGATTATCACAACAAAGCGAGTCCCGTGAATTTTTTGGTTTCCCAGTGCATATAAAAGTTGTGTTTAGGCTATACAGTCATCTACTAAGTGTGCAATATTGTATTATGTCTAAAAACAGTATATACCTTAACTAAAAATACTTTATTGCTTAAAAAAAATGCTAACCATCATCGGAGCCTTCAGCGAGTCGCAGTCTTTGCTGGTGGAGGGTCTCGCCTTGATGCCCACGGCTGCTGACTGATGAGGGTGGTGATTTGCTGAAGGCTGGGCTGGCCGTGGCAATCTTTTAAAATAAAACAACAATGAAATTTGCCCCGTTGATCAACTCTTCCTTTCACGAACGATTTCTCTGTAGAATGCGACGTTGTTTGATAGCATTTTACACCGTGTAGAACTTCTTACAAAATTGGAGTCAATCTTCTCAAACCCCGCTGCTTTACCAACTCAGTTTGTGCAATATTCTTCAATATTGTTTGTCTCAGGGACTAGGGAAGCCTGAGGGCAGGAAGGGGAAGAGAGATGGGGAATGGCCGGAAGGGTCAGAACACACACATTTACCGATGTCTCATACGGGCGTGGTTTGTGGCGCCCCAAAACAGTGACAGTAGCAGCATCACAGACCGCTGGCTGGTCCCAGATCAGTGTAGCAGAGAAAATGGTAATGTAAAAGTTTAAAATATCGTGAGAATGGCTATCAGAGATACGATACACGACGGGAGCACATGCTGCTGGAAAATGGCGCCGGCAGACGTGCTCGGTGCAGGGTTGCCACGGACCTTCAATTTGTAAAATAACAACAACTGCAATATATTTAAAGCACAATAAAATAAAAGGAGGTTTGGATGCCTGCTCTAGACGCTGGTCCCAGCTCCCCACTAAAGGGTGACCCCTAGTGGAGAAGAAGCGAAACTGATCTAAGTCATTCCTGAGCCCCTTCCTGAGTAACAAAGGTCTGTACTCTCCCTTTGTAGATCTGACCAAGTCCTTTGATACTGTCAGTTGTGAAGACTTATGGAAAATTAGGTCAAAATTCGGTTGCCTGGAGAAGTTCATAGCATCGTACATCAATTTCCCTATGGCATGCTTGCCTGGGTTCTGGATGATGGACAATGCTCCTGTGCTTTCCCCGTCACCAAGTGAAACACGGCTGTGTGCTCGCCCCCGTAAGGTGATGTTTTCAGCCATGTTGTCAGACGCCCTCAATGAGGATGAACACGGCATCAAGGTCAGCTACCGCACTGGTGGTAAATTCTTCAACCTGAAAAGGCTACAAGCCAAGAACAAAGTGGAGGGAGTGTTGGTGCATGATTTTCTGTTCATAGATGATTGTGCACTCAATGCAGCCTCTAAAGCTGAGATGCAACAAAGTATGGCTCAATTCTCTGCTGCTTGTGATGATTTTGGCCTAATAATTAACATCAAGAAAACACAGGTGCTCCATTAGCCAGCACCACACCACGCATATGTGGAACCATTGGTTACAGCAAATGAAGAAGTTCTAAATGCGGTAGATAAGTTCGCTTACCTTGGCAGTATACTTTCCAGGGATGTACACGTTGATAATGAGGTTGACACATGCATTGCCAGTGTTTGGGAGACTCTGAAGGAAAGTGTGGGAGAGAAGAGGGACTAGACTGCCAACCAAGCTGAAGGTCTACAGAGCCGTCCTGCTGACCTCATCGTCGTGTGCCTGTGAAGGCTGGACAGTCTACCAGCGCCATGCCAGGAAACGGAATCCCTTCCATGTGGATTGTCCTAGGAAGATGCTGAAGATCACCTGGCAGGATAAGATACCAGACACGGAGGTCCTTTCTCAAACCAAACTGCGAAGCACTCAACCTCTACTGCAGAGAGTGTGACTCTGATAGGCTGGCTACAATGTTTAATTGCAAAACATACACTTGCCTGAAAGACTCTCTTAAGGACAATTCACACAGGGCAAGCATTCACATGGTGGTCAGAAGAAGTGATCCAGGGACACTATCAAGGGCTCTGTGAAGATCTTTGGAATTGATTGTGGGACATGGGAAACCTTGGACCAGGACGGCTCAGCATGGCGTGCCCTCTTCAGGGAAGGTGCTGCGCTCTATGAGTAAAGCAGAATTAAAATAGCTCAAAGGAAATGTCAGATGCACAATTTCAGAGAATCCACCCCCAATGTTCACATGGACCGTTTGTACTCGACCTGTGGTAAAGCCTTCCTAGTTCATATTGGTCTAATCAGCCGCAGTCAGAAACACTGTAACTTAACTCTGACACAGTGACATCATTTTGGTCTGCTTTGAGAATGAAGGAACAACCCGCCAACCTCCTCCGGTCTCCTTTGGCCTTCCCAGCATGCCTCTGGGGTAGAAGGACCCCCA